AAACGACATGCAAAAATTAAAATAAATGCATTTTAATTACTTTCAACATTTCTGTTTCATTTAAACTTACACACATAAGTACTTAATAGCCTTTTGTGTTAGTCTTTCTTTTTCTCTAAAGTAAATACGCATGAAAAATGCACAATTAGTTACACTTGTATGTGCTTATATGTACATATATAAGGCAAATTCACACACGTACGCCCTTTTTGAGGTTCAAGGTAAATAGTACAAAAACAACTAAGCTTTACGAAGCCATGCAACTCGTATACAAATTAAAAAAAAAAACTGCTAAGAAAGGAAAAAACAGAAAAAATAATTTAATTAGTATTGAAATTGAAATTGAAATTGAAATTGGAATGACAGCAAAGTACCCGGTGACTAAAGCGTAAAATGCAATAAAAAAACTAAATCCAAATTGAAGTTTAAACACCTTTGTTGGTGTGGTTGGGGTCTGTCAATTGACAGTTTGGCTTCTCTCCAACGCCGACACTAGTAAAACTTTTATGCAAATAAAACGTACTCTTAGTACTTCTGCTGCTGCTGCTATCAGTCACTTCCCTTATTAATTTATACATATAAACACACACACATACGTGTATGTATACTAGAGGCTTATAAATAAATTCAAATATTTTTGTATTAAAAACGCGTAGCTCAATGACGTTGCAAAGTTTGGTGGCTACCATTGCGCCTTTTCTGTCTCTGTTAATGAATCAACAAGTAATAATTTGTATTTTTTCAATTGTTTTCTTTTGCTTGTTTCATACTACGACGAGTAGCGTCCAATGCGTCTGCGCCAACGAGGTTGTTGATTGATATATTTAGTTTTGTTTATTGCGGAAGTTGTGTTTCGTCCATTGACCAGCTGCACACACATGCATACACACATATTAGGCAAGCGGTTTCGGTAGTTAGAACTTTTTTTTTTAATTGGCTTGAGACAGTAATGGGTTTTTAATAAAGCAGTTACCGCATCCTATGCATGTAAATGTATACATACTACATACATACATATGTACAATATGTTTGCACTTCAAGGCACTATTTAATTTGCTTATTTAATATTTGCCGTAATAATGCATGAAAGCAAAAGCAACTATAATTTTTTGATAGTTTGAAAGAGAATGCAATTTGACCGAAAAAAACGTGAGGCTGTTGAAATAATTTTGTGGGTTATACAACAATTGACTTCAGATGATTTACTTCATTTAATTTTATTGTAGTTTTTATATATATTTTTTTATTTAGAGATATCTATTTTATACAAATTTCATAGTCTTATTTATTATATTTCCTCAGTTTTAATTATTCCTTAATTCAGCTTAGTTCTACTCAGTTTAGTTCGTTTATTTAATTTATTTTATTTTATTTTATTTTATGTTATTTTTTTATTATTTTTATTTTTATAATACTTTTTTTTTGTTATTTTTTGTTGCTTTATTTTATATTATTTTCTTTATCATATTTATTATCTATTAATATTTTATGCCATTTTAATTAATTTTTTTATAAATATTGCACTTTAGTGTTTATTCTTATTATTTAATTATTTTTTTTTTAATTTATATATTTTCATTTTTCACAAATTTTTAATTATATTTTCGTTTTGTTTTATTCTATTCTATATTATTTCTTCTTTTCAATCAGTTATTTAGTTCTACTGACCACCTCATGCGAGATTATTCATTTATGTATTTAGGTATGTAAATATGCAAATCGAAAATGATCAGCTGAGTTAGTCTTTAATAATTCAACAATAGTCTCGTTTACAACAAAAACGTCCTGAACTGATGTGAATGAAATAATAAGTCTGTATGTATGTATATACTCGTATATATTTATTTATTTAGTACATACGCAGTAAAAACTTAACAACCAAGAGCGATGACATATTTAAAATATTTTATTATCTCAATGCAAAATACTTAAGATCTTAATCACTGTATATAATTGACTGTAAATTCTTACCAAATATACATATATCTACATAAAAAAATACATATTTTATTTTAAATTTTTTTTTTAATATTTAATAAATTAAATACTAACGATTAATACAATGGGCAATAATTAATAATTCCATAATCATTAAATAGTATAGTTTATTGACATTTAGTTTTTTAATAAACTATATATGTAATACGAAATATTTATATTTTTGTGCGAGATAATCGGTTGTGGCAAAATAAATAGTTCGTTTCTAATTTTTTTTTTTAGATAATATGTTCATGAACCGTTAGTTGCTTCAAAAAAACTTTGAGTAGTCGTCAACTTGATTTTATATATTTTTTATTTAAAATTCAGTCAGGTTAAAGTGTTTCTCAACCGTGTATGCATGTATGTATGTACTGTTTCCACGCTTAAATTTGAATCAATTATCAATCATTAGTACTCGCACTAAAGGAAATAGAATAAAATAAAATAAAATAAAATAAATTAAAATAAAATAAAATAAAATAAAATAAAATAAAACAAAATAAAATAAAATAAAATAAAATAAAATAAAATAAAATAAAATAAAATAAAATAAAATAAAATAAAATAAAATAAAANATAAAACAGTATGACGTAAATTAGAAAATCTAAAAAAGCATAAATAATAGAAAATTAATTAAATTAAAAATTTAATTATACTAGAATAAATTAAAATAAAATAATGGAATGAAAACAAAAAGTGAATAAAATAAAAATAAATATATAAAAAAAACACATTTTCATTTGTAGTCCATTCTCACAGATTCTCACTAAAGAGCGACTTTTCCTAATTCCTAAAAACTCGTTTTTTACCGAAAATATTTGAATTATATATGTATGTATGTACATGCATACATGTGTTTTTTTAGATTAGACATTTCTTATATTTATTAACTTATTATTATACTCAAATATATAGTTATATATGTATAGTTAATACATACATACATACGAGTATGTATGAAAAACGCAATTAATTTGCGAATGATGCGCTGATAAGAAGCCCATAGCATTGCGTTGATGCCAAAGTACAAATTCATCAAATCTTTTATTCAATTAAAATTTGTCATAAATAACGTCATCAAAGGCTTTTGGAATGCAGAAGAAAAAATGAGATGGAATACTTTTTAATGCCAATAAAAAAAAATAAAAATAAAAAAAAATAAAAAAAAATAAAAAAAAAATAAAAAAAAAAATAAAAAAAAATAAAAAAAATAAAAAAAAAATAAAAAAAAAATAAAAAATATAAAAATTTATTTTGCAGTTTACTTAGTTAAAATTCTTCAATAATGCGAAAATACTCGTCTCTTTGAAACACGTTTTTCCAGATAGACTTTCAAACCACAAAAAAGAATTGGCAAACTTCAAGTCTAAAAGGCAGTTATCAAAAATATAGACATTTCATTTATGTATGTATGTATGCATCTTATTGCTTATAAGTTTCAGTATGTACATACATATGTACCTATCTGCATAAATATGTATGTACGTATGTATATGAAAGTCCATTATCTACCAAGAAAACTCTTTAGATTTGGCTGTAAGGTGTCATTGTGCCACTTTTATTTGTAACCGCTAATTGCAAAACCAACAACAGCTTCACCTAACAGTTACAAACATATCTATATACGTTGTATGCATTTGTAAAACATATACATACATATATATACATATACTTATCCGAAAAATGTTGGAAAATATCTGATGTAGTGAAGTGAAGCCACAACCAACAGACAGCAGACTCTAAGTTTTCGCCGCGATAGAAAAGCAATCGACACAAGAGTAGTGCATAGTGATGTTACAGGCTGCAGCGTATTTTTTTTATCAACTTTTATAGGCGCTGAAGGGTCTTAGGCATTTCCTTGCTACATTTGTATGATCGGGAATCTAATTTGCTTTTTTTTCAAGATCTTCAAACTATCTGGTCTATTAGAATTCCTTCTTCAGTAAGCTGGAGATGTGTTCGCTCCAGTCACTAGATCACCACTTTGAGTGCTATAGGGTCTCGAAATCTCTAGTAAGTCACCACATTCTCTCTTAGAATTTTCGTGCACTATCGAAGTGAGGTTAAGACTAGCGAGGCTCTAACTTTAAGAATAATCGTCATGTCATGCACTTCTAGAGCAAAACTATAAATCTTCGTTGAACTTGTGCATAAATACGAAAGTAAACGAGAGCTTTCTTGCAGCAATTCTTAACCAAAAAGAACATGCTCTGTTGAGGAATTTTAGACGTGTGGTTTGCAATGAGACAATCATTTTTAGGAGTTAGTTGATCTTCTCGACAACTTTTGCCTGATTTTTACTCAGTTTGGTTTGCCATTTAATAATATGCAGACTTACTCCGGAACAATGCTCGTGCTCGACATATGCGTCCAGCAGAGTCGGTTGTTCGAAAGACTATGAATTGGTTTCGGGTTGCGCTTACTCTAGATGATAAATGCGCGTTCTCAAGAGACACCGTAAAGTGCAAATTGAAGACGCTATTGCTGCCAAATAATCTAAAAATATTAAATATATAAAAAAAACTGAAATATATATGTACATATATTTAAAAAAAATAAAACAAATAAAAAAAGGAAAGCGATAAAAATTAGATAAATAAAATTTAAAAAATTAAATAAATGAACAAAATTTAGTTAACTGAAAAAAATATTTCCAGCTTGCTCGCTGCATTGTACATTTGTATTTACCCACATTCATATGTATGTAATACTATGTATTTATTATTGCATCGCTTCAAGATAAATAAATTTGTAAACCTGTTATGGATTTCAGCGCTTAATTTAAATCTTTTTGTGCTACCTACAGCTGTATGTATGTACATACGTATATATGATGTAGGTATTTAATGACGCAGCTAGTATCTCACTCTACCTCCAATATATGTATATCCAAAAAAAATCTCTGCATGTACATACATACATATGTAAATATTTATTTACATACATATGTATGTACATATGTCAGCAAGTAAATTCATATAATTTGCAGTGCAATGGGGGAGGCTATGGAGCAACTCACGTTAAATCACGCTTCGATGTTACCGCTGCGATGTAAAACCAACGCCAACCGACTTTCGTCACCAAAACAGCGATCAAAGTGACGGCTAATGCCGGCCCAACCGTAACTAACCAACTCATTGCGATTTTTACCAAAAACAATATAAATTTTCTTGAATTGTTTGCTATTCGAATCCACAAAAAAAAAATAATAATAACAATAATAATTAAGCAACTCCGTAATGTTTTTGTAAACCACCAGATGAGAGAATTCAAAACCGAAATGTGTTTAATTAAAATAAAAATTGACGACTCTTCGCGAAAAGCACACACATGCAACACACTAACGTATTGACTTAATACGCAAGTCAGCAAAATCAAATATTTTCATATACTTCGCGTTTAAAAGAGCGAACCGCGCACAATGGCGTAACAGAAGCGACTGAAGCGTTCGAAAAATACACGCGTCCGTGGCAAACAGCAAACAACGCAATGCATAATTCGAATAACGAATTCTGACGTACTGATTTCTTTCGCAGTGTGTATGTATGTATGTATGCATATATGCATGTGTGTTAGTAGCTGACATCACATTCACAGCAGAGAATTCACAGCCTCTGTAGAGCTTAACACCAGTTCTTGCACCGTGAGTATATGACGTATTGAAAAAGAGACGACAAGAGCATCATGATTTCTCTTGAAAACTTAAAAATGAACAGCATGCGTTGTTGAATTACTCTCTTCAATAAATTATGGCATTGACATGATCTCATGGATACTGTACATGTTCTGTTAAAGCTATTTACTTTCGTGTAACCAGAGAATGTTAACATATTATTGTTAACATACTCTAGTGTAACTCAGTGCATACGAGGGTACCAATAAAAATTCGACGATTTGAAAATATTATTTTATTTAATTTTAGACATTTTGTAGCTTGATGCATAGACGTCGTTGACTTTGTTTTCACCAGTCTTTAACCTGACTTGAGTAAGTTAATGGCTGTGCAGTCGGAACCTTCAGCATGCATAAACTCCTTAAGGAGCTACTGTTTCGTCACTTTCTTGAACAATATTTTTTAGGATTTGCACAAGAAGAAGTTAACAAATACATACATACATATGTAGGTATATATAAATAATAATAAATAGCAAGGTGAAGGCAATAACCAATTTTTCTGAGAATGTCAAACGTTTTCATTTTCTACAGTAAAACAACCCATATATTTCAATTTAAATTTATTTTAATACTTTTTTCATTTAATTAAATTACAGTATGTAAAAATCTACACTTTATATATTAATCTCTGTTAAAAATATTAAATTATGCTATTTGTACACAAAAAAAATCTTATTTTATTTACATGTATGCTTAAAAATAATGTGAAATAAATTAATACATGAGCTTACTTATTTTCTATTTATGTAGGTTTAGTTATCAAAAATTGATTTACAATTTTTCGTAGTAATCTTAATTAGGTAATTAAAGCATATTTTTCAATGGCTTAGATTTTCAGTCTGCAATAGGGGTTTCAATTATTTTTATATATTTGCCTATTTTTTGTTTAACAATTTTGCTTTGTTGATTTGCCAATTAAATGTGTGGTTATTGTTATTCCGCTTTATTCTATTTATGAATTATAATATAAATTAAAGTTTTGCTTATTCAAATGGTGGATATTCTCAGTTACTCGTATGTTTTGAACTGTTCATTTGTCAAATTTTATTTTATTCACTTATTAATTTTTTGTATTTTTTTTTTTTTTTTTAATACGCATCCCTTCTTGCCACATTTTTCATATTTAAGTCGATTTTTCGTTCATTAGTTGCAAAAATATTTTAATAAAAATTTGGCAAGAAGAATTTTTTATCTAGGATGCTAGATGTGATGTTGCTAAGGACAGTAAAACTGGTTTTTGGCGGTTCTTTTGTTCATTTGTGTGTGTGAAAGAGAATTATAAATCATATAACACGGAATTTATGTGGAGAGAAGACGAAAACGAAGAGGAATATTGTAGTGATTTGCTGCAAACGAGAAATTTGAGCCCAATGCAAAAGAAATTGAAGATAAATAGTTTATATGTTAATTTATTTATATGTATCTCTTATTGATTCAATCATCAATATTTTTATTCCTTATTTATTTTTAATTGTTATTTGTTATTAATTACTTATTATTTATTTATTTATTTATTTATTTATTAACCATTCATTTATTTATTTATTATATTATTATTTTTATATTTTTTTTTATTATTTTTTTTATTATTTTTTTTATTATTTTTAATTTTATTTTTTTTCCTTTTTTTTATTATTTTCTTATATTATTTTTTATATAATTTTTTTAAATTTTTTTTAAATTTTTTTTTAACTTTTTTTTTTAATTTTTTTAAATTTTTTATTTTTTTTATTTTTTATTTTTCTTTATTTATCTTTATTTTTTTATTTATTTTTNATATTTTTTTTTATTTATTTATTTTTTTTTATATATTTTTTTATTTATTTATTTTTTTTTTATATTTTTTTTTATTTATTTATTTTTTTTATTTATTTATTTTTTTTTATATTTTTTTTTATTTATTTATTTTTTTTTTAATTTAAAAAATATTATTTTTGTTTATTTCTTTAATTTTTTCATTTATTATTTATTTTGTTTAATTTGCATATATTATATATTTATATGCTTTATTTATTTACTTAGTAATTTATTTGCATACTTACTCATTTATTTATTTATTTTTATTTTTTCTTAAATTGCAAGGTTTTCGAATTAATCATATATGTTTGCCAAGGAAACCCTGGTATGGAAATAGCAAAACTGCTATGTAAATCATGTGGATTTTTCTGTTAGGAAAATGAGTATATAGATGGTTGTCCGCAAGAGTGGTCTTTGTTCATACATATGTAGTACGTTCTACAACATCATTAATTATGTTCATTATTATCAAGTTGTGAAGATCCTAAGTCCAGGGCCTTGGAGCCTCCAGCCTCTAGAAACATAAATTATATATACACATTTGTACATATATGAAATTTAAGCTAGGCACTAGCGTAGCGAGCCGTCGCTGTTAAGTAGGGCAAAGGAGAACAGGCGATAGGCCTACCAACAAAAGGCAGTGCATAACTGTCCACCTGTAGGAAAATTTAGTATAAAAGGAGCAGCATCAGCAGTGATACGACACTTTTGTTTGTGCTGTCGTAGTTAGAATATATGGTGTGTCGTGAAAACGTTGCCAATAGAGATATACGGCTGACGTGAAAACGCTGCCAGTACGATACGGTTAAGATATATGGTGTGTCGTGAAAACGCTGCCAATAGAGATATACGGCTGACGTGAAAACGCTGCCAGTACGATACGGTTAAGAAATATGGTGTGTCGTGAAAACGCTGCCAGTAGAACATTTGAAAATAAAGCTAATTGTGTAACGTAGAACCATTCGTGTTGTCTTTTTCCTACACTTTTAAAATCGAGATTATAGGAGAGACCCATAATCCTATAAACCGGAGAACCGGGTACGTTACAAAGTAATCGTTGTTTAAGTACAACACAAAGACATTAGATTCAATGTTTGAATGCACTGTCAAAGCTGAAGAGAAACTTCAAACTAAATCGTAGAATAAAAATATTACATAAAACGTTCCATCAATCAATCAGAATCACCAAGCCATATTAAGAATATAGTGTCCAACATGGATTTAAATGTAATGAACAATATAGAATTAAATGACTTGAACAAGATCAATGTACAAAAAGAAGAAGATGAAATTAAGTAATCAACTAAGCTCAAACACACCTGGTTATACAGTGATTGCTAATTTATTGCAATCACTCGCAGGTGGTACACTTGCAGGAAGTTAACATTTGTAAATTAACATAACACAAGCTAATTTCTGCAAACTAACATATAGGTTAACATATGTAAATTAACATAGTAAAATATAACATATGCAAGTTGTCATGTGTAAGTTAACATAATGTACTTGTTTACTTATGCAGCGTATGTTCTTGTTTGGCGAATACCGTTAGGCATTGTCACGCCACAGCATTGAAACTTGTTTTGACACTAGTATAAATATAGGAATAAGCTTAGCTTTAAGAATCATTTTTATACAGTTGTAAGTAAATAAAGATGTTTACGCTGCCGAGTAATTAGCGCGCAAATAAAAAAAAACTCTTTAATTTTTAAGAAAAAAAATTAATTTTCATACCACTGTACTCAAGAGGGGCTTGTGAAAATCGACTGCCTCAATTTTTTGACAATAGGAACGAGGACATTTACGAGGGAGGCAAAATGAATTTACCTTTAAAAATAACTAAATCGGATCCTTTCAACTATCCTAATTAAAACCTTCAATTTCATGCAAAAATAATGGATTTATTTTAATAGTATGCAATGCAAATGGTATAGATATGACGTTGTGTAAGAAGGTCCATATATACCACTGTTCAAAGCTATCAAAAAAAAAGGATGGATACCTAAAACATTATTACAAATGATTTCGACATGAATCAACCTAAAAGAATTATCAAAGGTCGATTGAACAATTATTACCCAGTCATTACTAAAAACAACGTGAGTGATGAAATTCTTCTAGATAATGGATTTGTGATCTATAACAATAATGGATATCAAGTATATGTTGCAGGCAAGAACATGCCACAATTAGATATAATGGGTGATCTACAAAAGTGACATTAATAAAGCATATAACATGCATATGGTGAATTGCAGATCAGAAAGTTGCAAAGTTCAATGCCAATAACCGGAGTCTAAGATCGGTAGAATACATAATAAGTGAAGATATTAGGATAGCTATGGTGCGTATTAATTGAATTCAGCAATAAATGTAAAGGTAGGAACTGGCGAGGGACGGTACACAAGAAAATAGTGGCAACAGATGGGAAATTCCCCGCGCGGGTTTGTAGGAATCTATTTTAACATTTATAACTTGCAATTTTCAATTTTACAATTTTTATATTACTGAATTTTCAATTTCAAATATTTTCATTTTCAAACACACAAGAAGTTATAAATAAATTAAATTTAAAAATAAAAGTTTATCTTCGTTTATATATATGTATAGATAAATGTATGTATCTATCTATATAATTGGCGATCCTGCTATAATACCAAATATTT